CTACACTGTGCACCGGGTTTTGACCTTTTAACATGTACACATGTAAATGTACCCAATCTTAATTCCTTACACTGTGCAGCTGTTAACGCACGTGTTGGCCTACGGTATTCACGTACCTGTTGCCACACCGTCAAGCTGTACTTTCGTCGTTCCCGGGCGAGACAAGGCAATTGCCGAGAACACCAGGGCAACGATGGCCACAACCCCGATCACAACGACCATGACGTCGTGGCAAAGAGCACTGCGTCTTGGGTGACTCCTTGAGCTCGGGAAAATATCCATTCTGTCGTAACTGGGCTCGTCGCTTGCCGCCATGGTCATTGACTAGGAACCAACACCCTAATACTTGGCGGGGAACGGATCAGTGCCTTATATGCCTTGAACAAAGCATCAGTGCTATTGTTACCTCCATCGACACACTAGACCCACCTTAGCGGCATTATTACAGGAAACACTAAACACGTGTAGGCCTACTCCTGCTGAAACCACAATCGTCAGCCTCACACTTCCTGTGACTGCACAGTGGTGCATTGTGGATCTCAACAGTACATAACCAAGTTTAATAAATGTACATTTTTTACTCTAATTAAGTAAGAAGTGCAGGTGGAATTTTTATGATACACTCATCCATAATGCACTCTCCATTGGTCTCAGTTAACCTCGTATCAGTTTCATTTCACTTTTGTAAATTGTATTTTGTTGCCCATTTTTATGGTTTTATGCTTACAATTATTTCCATTTCCCTGAGCTGTCAACCCAGAAATTATTGTTTGTACACAAAATTTCCATTTTTTTAGATTTCGCAGAATTAAATTTCTCTTCCTAAGTGACTGACTGTTGTGTATAACTTCATAGCAATAAACAATCTTACTACTTGCCATACTTTACAGGGTGTCAAGTTTGAGAACACGCATGTCAGTGTGTGTGATGGCATCTCAATATTTCGGCGTTACCGTGACAGAAGACTTAAATTAAAAAAAAAAACACTTGGGTAATTTTGCAAAGAAAAGTTACATTCTCATGTAGCCGCAGTTTTTATGTCCTTCTTTCTATGTTATCTTTATTGTCTCGCTCAGTTCTTTTAATTCTTGAACGTTGCACAGTGGAAGCAACTGGGCACTTTAACTCCCTACTTTAATACCGCAAAATTGTTGGACTCCATTTTTCCACAAAAATCATTCAGATGAAATTCAATTGTAAATCCACTTTAAAGTTATGTTAAGCGCCAGCTTATTCCATTCAACACTCAAGCCCCGGCCAGGTGTGTACGAGGAGATCAGCTAACAGTCCATATTTGAAGATCGATTTCATTCTTAACAAAGTCCGATGAGTGTTGTTGTTATGGACCGTCCCGGGTTTCATAAGCCATTTTATTATTCAAATGAATCCCTGGGAGAGCGTTGAATATGATGAATAACCATTTTCAGTTCACCTATTCATGAACTAAGTCCACCATCTCTTGGCTGGCTAGGCCTTCAGTCATACCTCCGCCAGATAGCAGACGGCGGGCCTGTACGGGAAACCAATCGAAGCCAGTTTGTCGACAACAGGTACGATTTTTAGTCTGCGGGGTTTTACAGATTGTTTCGAGACAAAAAAGAAATGAGTGGGAAAAGGGTTTGAGTTGTTCGGCGAAGCTTGTTAATTTTGATCGTGATGAAAGGAAGGGCGCATGAAAGATAAGGTGTATGATTTGAACATTTGTTGCGTGCAAATATGGTCCACTGTGTATTATTCTTTGAAACGGAATACAAATATGCTACTAAACGAGTCCATCGTTGTATCTGTAATTCCTTCTACTTGCTAAATGAGTTGTGGATATATAAATAAAGATAAATCGCTGAACTCCCAGTTAAATGCATTTTAGAAAGGACACTAGGCCAGCTTTCCACGACGATTGTGCACCTGCCCGTCTAGTTAGGGGTTGGTTTCTGAGAAACGACACCACTGTACTCGGTCATATTTTCGAGTTCAACTATACCTGGCCCTTTCGAGGTAAAACGGGTCAAAGCAGGTGTATTAACTGCGCCTGTGTTTTTTCTACAGGCGGCCAGAAGCCTCTGTGTAGGTTATGACTCGAGAACTTCATTAAGTCATTGTCACTTGAACTGCACGATCCTAGACATGTACCTCTGCTGTTAATGTACAGTAGTTACGCGATATCTTCAACGGGCAGAAAATACTTTTCAGGCGCTGAGAATTAGTTACAGGCACACAAGAATGCTTCGTGCTATTCTTTTGTTGAAGGCTTTTTCAGGGACATGACACAAGAAGTCGGATATATGTAATGTGTTTGCCCGTAATAGTGGTTAGCAACCCCGGCGGGACAGACACTGGCAGTTGTAAGTGTAAGCACAACTATACGGTAAAGAGATATTCCCCCACGAGCTATAGTCAGTAAATCGATCTGAGCTGCTTCGGTGAGTTGCCACGGTAGGCATATGTGGGAAAATTTCATTGCACACATTCACTGTAATTGGCAAAAGGGTTCAACTTTGATATTGTGAGGTTCCCGGGCGAGTCTTCAAAGTGGGTTCTATCATCGAGGTTCTCCTCAAGAACCAAGTTTAACGAAGTGTAAGGTGAACTATAATCCCAAACGTGTGGAAATGCAATGATAATGTTCAATACAGTAACATCACATCTTCACCGTATCTAGAGGTAAACTTCTCATGGTGTGAGAGTTGAAGTTGCTCAGCCTGTTCGGACTTGAATTGTAATCAAAGCTGCCACGTGCAACACTTTTGTGACAACAATCTGAGTACTGCACAAAAAGTCGATCTTTTTCAGTTTCAGCGATAAAACTGCCAACTATTGACTAGGAGGCCTATTTCAAATCAACCTGAGGCTGAACCGCTTACAACTATCCGTATACGCTTTGCTTTTTGCCGAGTAATGAGCTCAGGCAGAAATCGAACGGCAGCAGATTATATGTACATGTATAGGCATAGTAATGGCACAGTTGGTTTCGGCTTAGTTTGGCTTGATCAAGCAAACAGACTCGCAAACCTGGAGGGTCCCTAGTTCTTTTGTTGAAGCTTTTCTGAAGGACATTGTGTGTTTGAAAAGTTTGCTATTGTTTGCCGGTGTTTGCATGCTCCAACTACTCGGGTACAGAGTAGGTAAGCACGAACAATGGTAGGTGGAATTTTTTTCCCATGCACAAGCTCAGACGTCATTACGCATCTCGGCAAAAATAAACCAAGTACCCTTTTCGTTTTAGTGTATTTATGCTACATGTGTTCGCAACGAACAACGGGATTGCACATGAGCTTTGCACTTTTAAACCATTCAATCGTGGGGAATGCCAGCCCGCTTCGCATGACTTCCGACTTGCCTCTTTAAAACCTAACCGTTTTGGAGCAGTGGTGTCCTATTTACCCTGATTGTGAGTCGATACCGAGGAGTGGCAGTCACTGGCGCCATCATAGGAGGCCCAATATTCTCATAATCAATGAAATCTAAACAAAAAGTCAAATATTTAAAATCTTAGCCGCAGTGGGCTTTGGCGGGACTTGTGAAGACGTTTTGCGTGTATGGCCCGGCAGTCATCTTTGGCGTCCCCCCCCAAAAAAAGGAAATTGAATAAATCGGCAAATTCAGCTCCGGAGGCCTAAGTTTTAAAAATCAATTTACACTAAAGATACATTTTTTGAACCCCCTTCCCTTCCTTTTGTTGTATTCATTTGTCTTATATTGTTAGACTTGACAACCATGACCCAAAGTGACGAAGCTGAGCTGACCAGCCAGAAGGCTGGTAGGGGTGTGATCCGAGGCGACCCGTCCCCGGGCCGACAACTCCTGCTCCTGACCGTGGCTGTACTGATTGTTGGGATCGTGGCTATCCTCGCAATCATTTTGGCAGCTGTCTCTCTGGGCCGACCCAGTGCACCTGTAACCACTAATGTGCAGGTGCCATCCGGGGGCTCGAATACAGGTACATGGGCATGTAAATAAAAGCGCCTTGAGGCGTAACCGAGCTTCTCTGTAGGCTTGTCGAAGTTACTGAGATATAATAAACATGACACAAAATACACGAACGGAAAGCTGTTCCCAGATGCTTAAATTGCCGACTTGATATACTGTGCTTGACCTTGTCCTGGAGAGACAGTGGAGTCTCTCAGTGGAGTCAGTGTATCAGTGGAGTGTCATCTCAACCTTTTCTTTTCCTTTTTTTTTTTTTACAATACCAGGTTCCTCTAGTGTGGACGACCCCAATAAAATCTGGGTTTTTGCCATCGGGCATGATGGCACCAATTTGGAGTACATGTGAGTGTGTTAAGATTGAGGTTTACTCGGCCATAAACCAGTTTTAATAACCCCCAAAAGTTCATTCCAATCAAATATTAGTTTTAATGTCTAGAGATTTTGTTCATACTGCGACTTCTTTGTTTCATTATCAATGTTCTGTGTACATGATTTGGATAGGCCCTACTAGATATTTATATCCATTCATCTCAATTAAGGTACAAACAAGACAGTTTTAGTATTTCTATTAACGTTCGTTTATTTTTCGATCTTGGGTATTTGTGACTACATTTTACCGTCCTTGAGTTTTGTTCAGAAAACATTGAGGAAACTTCACCGCATGTGTTCCGTATGGTGTGATAGGGCTTCTTTGGCATCTTTCTATCACCATTCGTTCTTAATGAGACACCTGTGTGATCATTTCCTTACTTCAGATGATCCTTTTGTCGAAAGTTTTCGCTCAGATGTGTGTCAGCACAGCGGAAAGTCACATGAAGCATAGAGGGATATCTGCCTCCATGCGTGAAATCAGGGCTATGATTATTTCTCTTGTGTGTGAGGGCGCTGTTGAGTCACCCGTAGACAATAAACGAAAAGAGCGATGGTCATTTCGAAAATTTTTATCACAAGGATTAGGTTTTTATCTTTTGACTTTTAATCATTTCTCTCTGCAGAGATGATCTCAGTGGAACAGTGAGGGGTTTCCATGTTGATATCATCGAGGCTGGTAAGCACATATAGAACGATTAAAAGGGAACTCAGAATTTTTCTTCCATCGTGATATTGCCCATCTGACAGTGACAAATATCGAAAATTATGGTGCTGACACGTTTGTATGTTTTTACTTTAAGGTATCGGCTGTTGCGTTTCATTCTTCAGTTAAAGTTGATTCAAGCTTGAACCAAACGGAATGATTCCATCGATGTGTCCAGTTACACCCTTTAAATTGCAAAGGACCTTCCCAAGGGCCGAGGGTTCTTTTTGTTTTTACAATGGTCGAAGTTGTAAATGTATCGAGCGCATGACCGCTAGAGGGCAACGTGGTGCAGGTAGCTGGTAAAAGAAATAGGCCAACTTTAGCCCGAAATAACAAGAGCACATAGTGCAAAGAACAAGGATGACGAACTTCGCATGAAAAGACAAGTGGTATGGAAGGAAAATCAAGGGATGGTACTTTGGTTGACAAAAATTAAAGAAATGAAAGTAGAATCCCAAAAGGAAAACTGATCTGACAAAAGGAACTCGTAGAAGGAATCAGTATTCATGGACAAATAGGTGAGAACTATGAGGAAGTGAATATACGCTCTCAATCATTTTCTCCTCCAGTTTGCAGTGCGGGGAACAAGAACTGCAGGTTGATGTGGGATGTGTACGAGAACTGTTACTCCCAACAGCCAAACAAGCGACCCCGCCCAGGGGTGGGGCTTGTCAGCCGATGGTACGATGCTTGCACAGGTAAGACTGATAGTTATCTTTGGTATGCTTGAAGAATAACACTTGATGTGAGGAAACTTTGAAGGTTTTCCGTATCAGCCACTGACTAAGGCCTACGTTCCGCTAGTAAAATGAGCTTTAAATAGGCCTATAACAAGAAAGAACATGAATGCATTCGGGCTTAGTGGAAACCTCAATCAGCACCGTATTAGGAGTTTTGAAAGAGTAGCATTGACGGATTCAGACTGAAATTTCAAACTTTCTTTGTCAATCTTTATAATAATAATAATTTTTTTCTGTTTGCCCACAGGCTGGTTTGCCACCTACGAACGGACTGCCTCGGTGGCTTTCACGAAGCCGTTCCGTAAACCTCTAAAAGCAGTGTTCTTCGTGAAACGGGGCAACCCGCTGAACTTCGACAGCACAAATCTTACCGGCAAGAAAATTGCCTTCCTGGACGGACACGCATCCAACATATTCTGCGTTCAAAGAGCTGGTATCACGGTAGGAACATCGCAATAAAGCTATAAGATTTAATTTTTGAAGGTCTCCGCGTAGTGTAACTTTCAAACAATCCCTGGAATTTCTGAAATAAACGTTATTTTCCATTTCTGTTTGACATTTCAAAGGCATTTCATCACAATTTTGATCTCAATACTAAAGCAAAATTTCCAGATTCGTGTGATGGGGGTCAGGGACAGCCATATCTGCCGCAAATAAAGAGATTCGATCAGCTCCCCCAAAACACTTTGGTTGAAAAAATCATCTCCCTAAGTGCAATGGAATGAGCAAACAAAGGAATGATGATTGAAGGGATAAAACAAACATTCTGGGCCTTCCATTCAAACATTACCGCGTCCATCGTCCTTGCTTCCTTTTCTCAACTGACGTATTTGTGTCGGTACTTTAAAATTTATGTTATTACAATAGGGAGTCAATCAGATAGCGCAGATTGTACATTATCAGACAAGAGAGGAAGTGGTTGAAAGTGTAAACAACGAACAGGTAAGTTGACCGAGTTACTGAAATTTACAAAGCACTTTGAACCTTTTGTGGTTGGAATTTTGTTGGATAGAGACCAATTGCATTAGCTAAGTCACGTGTCGGGTGATTTATGATGGTATCACTCCCACGGCAAAGTGTGTTTTTAAGCGTTTTGTCTCCCACACATAAAGCCAATTTTGGTTGCAGTACTCCTGCATCATTGTACAGACTGAGTGCGGTTTATACCGTCGGCTCTACTTTTGGTTGATGATACTCATGACACACTTTTCTTTGGGGGAACGCCATGTTTATTGATATTTTTAAATACCATCTATGGGTCACGTTTAACTTAGCGGGCGCACTCGGTCAATCGGGGCGTGTCAACAATTGGAATAATGAACTTGTTTGTAGTTACATGAGGTATGAAATCTTCTCTGATTTTCAAATAATAAGCAAATTTGAAGGACATGGTTAAATCATTCAAATAATGGAATATTATTGGGTTGAAAGGAAAAATCAGACCTTTTGAATTATGAGCATTTAGCTGTAAACTACATGATGACGTCACCCTTTGGTGGATGTTTAAAACTATAAAAATCAAGTCCTTTCTTAAAACACTACTGTACTAACATGTTCAGAGTAACTGCATGCACAGTTGAGGTGTAGCCATTGTTATATAGGCCTACAGTGGGAAAGTTGGAAAATGCATTATCGAGCTTATCCCCTCTTTATTGTTCTCAAAATCTCTGGTCAAGGTCGACGCCGTATTTGCAAACGACCAGATCTTTAATCTTGACACTGACTTGGACGTAGCATCCGGAACCCCCATCTCGACCTGTATGCAAGATGGCGCCGGCATGATGGTCCGTAAGGATAGTCGCTTGCCTGATTGGTGGAACCCGGCCTTCGATCAGCTGAAGCAAACGTCACAGTACAGAGATATTTGTACGTCAATCCTGGAAAATCACGGTGAGTTTCAACAAAGGAATGACAGAAGTTCGTGTCACAAACTGTCCTAAAAAGACATCATTTTAATCTTACTTCAGTTTTTGAAAACACGTCATTAATAGCCATGACTGAAAAATCATCTTCAAGTGCTCTCAGACCAAACGCGTGTTAGACCGACCAGATAAACTTTCTTTGCCCAAGTGCCTGTAACAACAAGAGACCACTTATTAAGAAAAGAGACTCGTTTTTATTTGCCAACAAAAATATTCAAATTTGGCCTTTCGCCAAAGTTATTTTATTCCGATCAGGTCTTTGTGAGAGCTTGTGAAACAGGTGGATCCACTCGCCACTTGACTTATAAGTTACAGTTGGCTTGGTCGAATTGATGAGGCATTTCGTGTCGCACTCAAAAGCTTAACTATAAATTGAATTTAAATTATCTTGTTAGTACGACAGAACTTCTTGTTTTCCACTGAAGAGAGCTAATTTTTGTCGTGCCAGAACTCAATACACTACTTCCACTGTAATAATCTCCTCTTCGTGCGCTATGAGTCAACGAATCTTGTCCATAGATTAGAACCTGTATTCCAAGGAAAAGAGAAGTTCTTATACTGTGATCAGAACCCTTTCAACTGACACACCCATTTCTTTTTTAGTGAGTTTCGGTTTTTCAAGTTCTGCCAAGTTATTCTTTGCGATGTTTTCCTCTGCAGATCAATCGGCCCATGAAGTGGACTGTGTTTATTGATTAGCCCGCCGTTACAAGGGCCACGGTAACCTATCGCCTGCCTTTCATCATCTGCTGTTTACATGCAAAGAATGTTGGTCAATCAAAGTAGTGTTTGTTGACGTTCACTGTACCCTTCAAGACAACGATTTCACTAGAGTGCTCTACAAGTCATGGCCTGATCATGATTACATTCACTTCAATCATTAAAAAATGGCATAATACAATATATATTTACAGTTAACTCGTTTGTTTATTGTGTAAACATTATCTGGTTCTGTTGTCTTCAATACTCTATGCAATCGTATATATTTTTTCTTAACATGTTTAGCTCTTTAAGCTGTCTACATTTTGATTTCTTTTTACATATGCCGTTGTATGTACAATATGATATGATAGCCCACATTAATACAAAATTGCTTGATAATTCGGCAAACAATTCTGGATTTACTTTTTCTTCACCGGAAGTCCACGCCCCCATTATATTGTTTTACAAAATCACAGCCTAGTCTACGTACAAACCATTTCCAGTTACCAACCGAATTTCACCCCCATTACTGCCGCTTAAATTTGCTTTTTCAAGTGCCGAATTTGATCATAATTATAGAAGATTATGTTGCCTGGTTGTGTTCGTATTCAATCTACAGTTTGTCTTTTGAGACGACTTGCTTTGTGTCCTTATAACTTACAAAGACTGTGAAAAGATTTTGTAAGTTTCTTCTGTGATTGCGTATAGGCCTACTAGAAGTCAGGGAATATTGGTGTATTTTGTAGACTAATTGTGTTAATTCTATTAACTGTAGACAAGAACAACCATGTTGATGTCCAGTCCTTTGAATACTATTTCGTTGAATAAATCCTAATTTTGTTATGATACGGGCAGATCGAGGCAGATGAAACTTTCGCTGAGATGGGGCCAGTACGTGGTACCATCATAATCTTGAAACGCTTATTACTGGGACTAAACCGCACGAGCACCACCCGTCAGTAGTCTCGCGTTGCTCAATTTCGAATTATAGCCAGGCCTTGTGTTAACTTTTTCCTGGCTAGCCCACTGGGCAAGTTCAGTGGATATTTTACTAGCCCGTTTAGAGTTTTACTAGCCCGTATATAAAAAAATGTTAAAACCCTGAAATTTGTTATCAGCTTACCAATACAGAATTTGACATTTCGGGAAATAAAAGGCTGATGGTATAAAAAAATAAAGAAGCATGTATGTTAGTCGCTGGAGTCACTGGTCACGGAGCCGGGATCAAAATCATCTCTTTGCTCCATCTTTCCTCTCATTTGGGTTGCTTACCTTTGGCAAAAAATGCTACTTTTTGCTTACTTTCTGACCTCCACACGTGAGGGGTGAACGAGAGAAAACTTTTTTCCAATAAGAAGAGGGTGCTGTTTGCACACGGCTTCATATGCAGCAAGGTATGAGACGGAGAGAGCCCCCCCTGCTTTGTGTTGGTCATTGTCTCGCAGGAATC